GACCGCTGTTGCCACCTCCTCCCTGTCTGTTGTTGCCACCTCCGCCCATGATGACTCTGACACAGATGCTGGAGTAGGTCCTGGTTCATTCAAGATTTTAACTTTTTCTTCAACAATGAAGTTCTTCCTTTTTTCTTGAAAGGTGCACTTGGACAAGGGATCATTGTAGGATGCGTGGACATTGTAAAAGTGTGAATACAACACACTGAAAATTAGATAAAGTCTAAAAACAAGAGTGTTGATACACACGTCTACACAATAGGGAAGCTAGCAAATAGCTGAGAGAATATAAAAGTGGCGGGAGACACTTGGAAAGACAGCATGCGATGGTGCATCGATTCTTCTGGTGGGGGGAAAATTAAACTTGTGATGTATTGCACTGATCAGCGAGTATGAAAAATAATGGGAGTAATGTAGTTACTCGTGATAAATCAAATGTGATGTATCAACCCTACTGTATCATATTTTTTTTCTATTATTGAGGATATTTTTATGATGTAATGTCCACTATCAAAAGGCTGATCATACAAAAATATAACACTAAAAAAAGATCTAAAGCTGTCCCCCACTTCCACCTGGTTACATAAACAGTATCTCCCTCATTGTTCATGGCTCTTGTCAGGCATACAGGGAATCCGTTCACACCACTGTCTTCAATGAGCAAAACTTGTCCTTTTCATAAGAACATTTTAGAATTTTGCCCATATTTTAAAACTTTCAATTTTTCCATTGGAGCAAAGAGTCTACATAAAAAGCTCCTTCACTTGGGGTTAAATTAAGAAAATACATCACCATGTTTCTCTTCTTGTTGAACAAGATGAAGTGAAACATACATTACATGTCACCTCAAGCACACACAGTTCTCAAGTTAATAGGAAAACTAATATACAGTAGCTAGTATACAACTTTACTATATGTGTAACATTATATAACAAATATGAGGTAATAATTATGAGTAGAAAAGTTCAATGATATGCATAATAGAAAATTATAAATGATGGACTGATCCTAGAAATTCCATTTTATGACCGAGTTTGGACTAGGCGACTCACACACTAGGTACACCTTCCCACTGCAACTACAGCCCTTAAAAATATGTCTTGGAAGGAAAATTTGGACCACTCACGACCAAATACTAATGAATTATCACATTAGCAGTCTGTACTCCACCTGTTCTTTGATGTTGGCCATCTTGTGACTTCCCAAGATCAAACACTGTTACCTCTACCCCTGCAACATGCCCTGGTACCCCTTCATCCAGACTAAGCCATAAATGGGATTTCAAGAAACAACCCATCATTTATGAACTTATGTCTGTGCTAGATGAATCATGTATCTAAAACCAGCTAAATATAGGTTAAGTGAGGTTAAGTGACATGCACCTTGTTGAGGGAGGTATTTACACAGCAAGGGCAAGGTACAACTGTCCTAAAGCAACATTGTTTTAGGTATCTGCTCTGCAATACCTTAAATGAAAAGGCAGTGTCTCACATATGGAATGAACTTGAATCAGTCAGGTATGTGAATGTTGCAACAGTCAAAACAGGAATGGAAATTCCAAACTAAAGAGAATACAGTTTGCCCTTCCCTACAGAATCATTCTGTGGAAACACTAGTGTAAATACTGGGAGGCAGAATCCATAAGAATCACTTTGAATCTACCATCCAATCAGAGTGCGGCACCTTGTTCCTCAAATGTTTTTTCTTCTTTAAATTTCTCTATATGCCTTACCACAATGAAAAAGAAAATTTCTGATGCCAACTGAAATATCTCGCTGGATATTTCCACCTGGTGATCTGTACTCATATGCATGCTATTGCAGATGTGTCATCCATGAGGAACATGGAGTGTATTTCTCCTAGAGACCAACTCATAATCCAGATTTCAAGAAAAGATATCAACTCCATCACTAAAGCTAAAGAACTACTGTTCTTTCCTTTTAACCTTCTCTCACTGCCAGTGAATATTTCTCTCTGTGTTAAGAGAGGATCCACTTGGCTTAAGCATTTCACCACTAAAATTTTGACAGGAATTACCCTGAGTCTCTCCAGGTGCATCAGGAACATGAATTAGAAGGGAATCATTCCATCAGTATCCATTTCCTCTCAAGAGGATGATGAAGTTCCCCCTGCCAAAAGGACTGGAAAACAAGAGGCAATCTCCCAAACTTCTAAGGATTTAGTAATACTGCATTGTGATTAAACTGAACAGGATTTCCTGGGAACGGATCTCTATCATGGGATCACTCATCTCTCTAGCAGATGATTATATATAAGTGAAATTACATTGAACCTTATTCCCTTAATTAACTAAATTACCAGGAAAAATTAATAGGCTGGATACTTATGTTCCTCTCTTGAATCATCAAACATGACTTAAGAGAAAGGTTTCCAGCATTTCTAACCACATCTGGTCAACATGGAAACTGACAAGTTTAAACCTGATTTAAAAACAAGAATGAGGAGACAGCTGCAAGAATTTCTTCTCTATTACAACAGCATCTCTGACCAGTCACCTTAAAAAATTCTTCTCCTAAGGAAAGAAACAGCAGATTTCTGACGAGAAAGACAGTTCAGAAGCACTTACAAGATTATGAAGTTGTTAAAAATGGTGAGTCTTTCAAGTAACTAGCAGGTCAGAGAGAGAAGTGTGTTGTAAGGATGTAATAAACCTTTGGCTCTGGTTAATGGAATAATACCTGAGAAAATTTAGATCTTGAGGAGTATTAGACAAGAGGAAGAGGAGGCTAATCACAGAAGCATTATATATCATCTCTTTCACCATCAATATGTGCTGAACCTCCTGACCAACAACATCTCCATAACTATTTCCACACACAGACACATAGTGAGTGAGTTTAAAAATTTTATGTTTTCTGTGTTTTACATTGATTGGGGTCATTTTAAGCAAAAAACACAGACCTCTTTTTCTCAACCACCCAGAGTGTAATTTTTAATTAAACATAATTATCTGGTTAAAGATTAGTAAACCTCCCAAGTGATATTAAGAAAAGTTACTCAATTTAGCTCTCCCCACCTGAGATGTCTTCACTGTGTCATGAGAGACCTGGTGACAGAGGACAGGCCACATACCTGCTGAGATGTCACGACTCATTAAGTTTCGGCCATAAGTGGTAAAAGCTGTTTCTAAGATCCATTTTAAGGTCTATGGTTGAACTGGAAGGATATAACTGATCAATAGATTAGTAACAGCTACTAATACCTAAGGGTTTAATGGACATTTAACCCCATAGACTTTTAAGGATAATAATAATTATAATAATAATAATACACAGAGCGCCTCGGACAAATCTAAGGTCATAAACACCCTACAGAGTACTACACGTTGTCTGGTTCATAAGAATATTCACATGTTTGGACTTGAGCCAAAGAATAACACACCAATAATTATGGTTAATTTGAATAAAGATTATAAACCATTATACTGAGGTGTGTCTGGTACTGGGGATTGTTGGTCAGGTCGAGATCCAGAAAATCGAGAGAGAACTCCTCTCCTTGGCGGTCTTGGGCAACTGCTTGAGCTATTGTTACCAGTGCACTGAGTCTGTTGCACATCACTGCAAGATAAAGAGAAGCCATTAGCAACTGCATATCCCATACAAATGATATTGAACTTGAAATAGCTGAATGGAATAATTTATGGTCTACAATAGAGGGGAATTTTCAACATCTAGTTCACCTGAAGTTTACCAGCAGATAAACGGTACTGTACATTTATCTTCTTAGTCTCATGCATGTCGATACATTTTTCATCTTATTTCTCAAAGTTTGTAATTTTTTCCTCCTAGACATTTCTTCCCATCGAATTTCATGAGCTTTATTTTGACACTGTTACAATAAAAATATCTTTAAACAATAACAACATGCAAAAAGGTGTGCAATAAAAGCCAGTCTACAATAATGGTGGTGATGATAGCGGTGGAGGAGGTGATGTGCCAGTTTCTATGACATCTGCACTGCCAGGCACAAGTCATCAGCTGAAGTTTACAGCATCAAATCCATCATAATCAACTGTTTATTTGTTTTTATTTACCTATGATAATAGAGCTTTACAATGGCATGATACATAAAAGCTATTTAACAATGAAAATTTGCATCAAGGAAATTATCTCCAAAACCAAGAGTACTATAATAAAGCAGCACAATACCAGGGTACAGTATTACTGTATTTGTACAATAGTGTCATGAATATTGAAAAACATAAATAGCAGTATTTTTCAATATACTGCACAGTGCCCCACCACCATGACACTTAAAAATGGAATAGAGGGAGGGGGTACACTGTACAGTAGGTGGTAAAAAATCTAAGCACTTGGTCATTGTTAGTTTCAAATTTCACCAAAATTGAGCCCAGGAAGGTTCATGTCAGTTACGTACTGTAGGTGAGGATTAAATGATCTCTGTAATGTTTGGTGACCTGAATAAGATACGACCCTACCTTACCTCGCCAGTGAAGAGGGCACTTTAAAGCCCATATACGAATATGTTGCCCAGTTTCCATTCTATAGAAGTGGGTTGGTTATAGGAAGGGCATCCAATCATAAAACTTGATTCATATTTAAAGGATGGCAGCTGGGACTCCATGCCATCAGGTAATCGTGCCTCACCCATGAAGTGTGGATAATGGCCATAAAATGGTGATAATAATGTTATTGACAAATGGTCCTTTTGTAGACTACAGACTGACTTACTGTCTATACAGTAACAGTAGTACTTAATTTAGGAACAGAATGAGAAAAAGAAAATCCCTCCAAAAATATGAAGGTACAAACGGTTGGACTCTGTGAGCAATGATTTACATTAACTGTTTTTTGTTGAAGAAATTCTTAGAAGTCATCTTATATTATAAGCAGTTAATGGTTTATTGAGCATATTTTATAGAAATAGAATAACTTCTATTGGGAGTATTTATATAAAAATGCACAATTGAAAATTACTAAAAAAAAAAGTACAGGTAAATTTTTGAGAAAGGTGGAAACTTACGCAAAAAATGGCAATATGCTGATGAATGTGAGTTTATCCGGTGAAGACGTTGAGTTGAGGGTTGGAGTTAAGGAGCAAGTTCACTACCTGTCTGATGTACAGCTGAAGACGAACACGTCGCTCCTCCACAACACTGTCATCCTTTATAATAAGAAACAATATAGGAATGAAGCAAGAAATCATATTACTATACAGTACAATACTGTATACAGTAGAGACAAAGGGATGAAATGAATAACCAAGATACACAGCTATCAAGCACCTGCAGTGAGAGTCTGTCTCTTCTTATGGAGCATACTGTACAATGTTTAAAAGTGAACAACTTCATTAGAAGAATGTTTACACTACAAGCATCCTTCTCACTCTGTCAACGCATGAGGGCAGTCTACACTATAAAGCTATATTTTAGCACTGTTCCCCCTCCTAGTACAGTACATTCTCCCTAGTAGAATGACAGTGTGGTTCTTTTCAGCTTATTTCTGTTACCTATCTGTAAAAGGTAAATGCTTTATCACGGTACAGTCCTAAATATCAAAATACGTACACTGTGCCCGCATTTATTCAGAGTTCAGCTAAATTCGTTTTTTGTTTTTTCAAAAATGAATTAAAGTATTTGAATTTAGAATGAATCGGAAATAAATGAGCAGCTCCGAAAAATCGATTATTAATTAAGAATATATTATGAAATAGGAACAAAATATTAATTATGTTAAGATACTGTACTGTATAAAATTACATTTAGGTGCATAGGCATAGCAGTGGAGAGTGGCGGTGGTGCAGGGGGGGGGTGGTGAAGAAGGTGGCGGGTGGTGAAGAAGGTGATGGGTGGTGAAGAAGGTAGCGGGTGGTTAAGAAGGTAGCAGGTGGTGAAGAAGGTGGCGGGTGGTGGAGGAGGAGGGAGGAGAGAACAACTCGCCGCCTCCTGCTCGGTAGCCTGCGATCCCTTTATAAGGACAGCTTGCAATTTCACCCATATTTTCCATATTATTTAAGTTCATTTGGTGACAGGTTAAGAAAAAAATTTGAAACAAATGAGCTATTGTGCCACAGTACTGTATATTCATCTCTTGTTCACAGAGCAGCAACAGCTGATTCTTCCTGTTCTCCCTAACAATGTTGCCAACACTCACCATCTCTCAACCACCAATGTTGTCACTGCTCAAGAGGGTTAGTGCAGTTGGGTACAGAAACTGGACCCTACTCTTCCAAAGTGTTCCTCAATTTAGTACAACTTGTTTTCACTAAGACATAAAATTGTGTTTTAACAGAGATTACTGTATAGTACAGTATACTAAATTATTTGTCTTACCTTATAACCAAAAGTTTTCTTTTGTGGAAAATCAAGTACAATTGGATCCTTCTTCTTAAGCTGCTTATGAAGCTCATAGAACTGAGCAAATCGACGGTAAACATTCATTAAATCATCTCGGATGCGAATATAAATCTGTTGGAAAAGCTCTGATTGAGAGTTCAAATTTGCAAAGTTATGGTCATTCATCTAATATTGTATGTGTCAGCCAAAATTCAACTTCTCACTTACAATGTAAGGTATCCAGAGATATACAGTATGTACACAAAAAAAGGCAATAAAGGAATAATCACACACATGATAATCCAATGACAGTAGAAATAAGGGAATGAAGCAGCAAATCCCAGTTTATGACTTACAGCTGAGGGGAGTGACCAGAGAAACCCCAGCTCCTTAACACTTCACACAAGTAAAATAATTCAGCAGGAGAGAATACAGGCACAGACACTTTAATCCATATATCAGAAAACAGGAGATTATAAAATACCGGACATTTTATTTCCTGGGATAGGTTACTGGGCACATATTCTTTCTTGGGGCCATATATAATTTCTTCGACCTATCAGTACAGGCTTTGCTTCCTCACACTTACACGAGCCCAGTTGAACATTGGTTTTCTCTCAAATAACAAAAAGAAGGAAATACTGTATCATTGTATGCATATTAAAAAAAATTATAGGAAGCCTTTTTACCTTAAAAATTAGTTAACTGGGTTTGTTTGATTCCCAGCAGCTTCTCACACGTGACAAGATTTGCGAGTTCCTAAATAATCACTGTCAATTTGAATAAATTGCCCAATTAAAAAGAATATGTAAGGAATTGCATCAAAGACTGTTGGACTGTTTTCTTCCTTTGCTTGTACAGTTCCTTGTAGCAGTTAATGTTTGTACAGTTCCTTGTAGCAGTTAATGTTTGTACAGTTCCTTGTAGCAGTTAATGGTTGTACAGTTCCTTGTAGCAGTTAATGTTTGTACAGTTCCTTGTAGCAGTTAATGTTTGTACAGTTCCTTGTAGCAGTTAATGTTTATACAGTTCCTTGTAGCAGTTAATGTTTGTACAGTTCCTTGTAGCAGTTAATGTTTGTACAGTTCCTTGTAGCAGTTAATGTTTGTACAGTTCCTTGTAGCAGTTAATGTTTGTACAGTTCCTTGTAGCAGTTAATGTCACTGGTTAATAACTAGTTATGCTCCATTGTTATGAATACAGGGACTATCAGTGAGTAGCCTGAAAGGCTGGAGTCATATGTCTGCTAAAGGAAATATCAGTGATATCCGCGTTAGCTGGAACAATTGGTGTAGAGCACTTCCGAAAATGAGAGATTTCTGGGTAACGAGACGACTCTCTCAAACCCGGAAAAAATCCCCCATCCCCGGAATTTTTCTGGGCACTGGGAAAAGTTTCTTTGAATTCTCCGGAAATTATGCATTATTTCGTCCTCGGAATTTGCCCCCAGACCGAGAAAAAATTTGGAGAGTTTCTGGAATTTTTCTCAGAATTTTCATCCTCATAATTTGTTCCCAGACTGTAAAAGAATTACTAAATTGAGTTGGTCCTACAATGGTAATTTTGGATGAGTATGAATGATGAAGTAGAAAATGCAAGGAAAGTATGGTGTCATGACTTGTTGTCTTCAGCCTTTTGTGGTAGCTGCTGCTTCTGTTACCTGTTTTTAGGGGTAATGAGAAGGACTAGTTCTGGCCATAATAACACTAACTAGACATTTGGTTTCCCAAGTTACACTCAACACACTAAGTTTCCAGACAAGTATTGGATACTGAAGAGGCGTGTTATACGGCCTTCACTTATCAATAACTATGGTATACTTCTTATCTAGAGAACTTTAAATCACCAAGCTTTCACTTTGAGACGTTCTAGACATTTTGGGCTGAGTAATGAAAATTACTTAAAATGAAAAATAATCCACAAAACTTATTGTAAAAATCTATGATTACTAAAATCTACATGTTTTGGTTGTTTACATCTTATGCATTTATTGTATTCAGAAAAAACTCTCCACAAATTTTTACAACTGACCTGATAAACATGGTGAGCATCTGCAGACGTGCCAGTAAGGAAGGCTGTAGGGATCCAGATATTGATAAGAGTGTGAAATGTACGAGAAGAGGTCAATGTGTTTGGATCACTGGTGATGCTGGTGTCGTCTTCAAATTCTTCATTTTCATCAAGTTCATTTGGTAAAGGACCTCGGAGTTCTACCAGCTGCTCACGGAGACAGCGAACCTATTAAACAATTGGAAGACTAAAGGACAAAGCTTTATTTAATTTCCAGAGGTGTGAAACAAAGAAACTGTAAAATGCACAATAATTTAGTGCCCTGGGCAGAGCTTGCCACTGACCAGGAATTGTGAACTACATATTAACACAAAGTGTAGCAGACTCCTTATCCAATTAAAGCTAGATACAAATACAAATTCAATGGTTGTCTTGAGGACTAATGTACTATCAAGTCAGGAATCTTATACTTTAAGGATTTACTATTTCAAAACTCAATTCATCATGTGGGACCTTGTGCCCCACCACTCACAGTTTAGGACTTTGCTACACTTTAGGAAGAAGGAACCATTGTTTCTTGGTGCATGGTCACTTAGACTACACTCTACAGTCTTAACACCATGTATAATAAAACAACTGTAAAAGGCTAAAGATACCTTCCTTTCTTGGATACAGTAAGATTGACTGATTGTGGCAATAACATCCTGGCAGTGCAACAGCTTATGTCATATGCTGCTGAATTAAACTAAAAGCTTAGAAGGCTAAAAACAAATAATGCAAAAGAAAAAAAGAAAAGAAATAATAATAATAAATAACATAGAACTTTCATAAACAAAAAAACATTTAAATGTTAATAGATAAAAAACAAAGCTTGTGTAGAAGGCTGGCTTCCTCCATGAAGGAGAGGACGTCCCCTCCCACAGTAACTGAGAAGTGAAGTTAACTAAATGTGAAATAAGATGAAAATCAGGCGAGTCAATTACCTGTGTTTCCCTCATCCTTAACAACCTGTGTAACCGCTCATTAAATTCCATCAGTTCTCCATGCATTTCAGCCACCTGAAAACATTTAATAAGAGAACTTTATATCATATCTGTACAGTAGGGGAATATAATATATCAAGTATCTTAAGAGAGTTGGTTAATCAATAATGTATAATGGACCCAAGAATTTATTTGATTAATGTATAAAATATGTAATAAGCAGGCAACTGAAAACGCCATCGTCGATTAAACTTAACACTTTCTCCTACGCTTAGATAATGTTCCTACTTGGATTAGTTTCAGCTCGTAGGCAGCAGCTTCATGGTGGTAGTCGCGATACTCTGGTGTAGGTTTGTTGGGCAGGGTAATTGGTCCCTCACAGCTTCCCTCTCGACGCAGAAGTTGCACTGCCCCTACGTATTTTTTCAGCTGGTGTTTCAATAACTCGTTCTCCCTGAAATAATAACAACAGCTATACAGGAGAAATATGTCTAGATCAAAACAATAATACAATACAGAGAAAAACTACTTAACTAGTAATATTCAGTAGCAATCATACATACATTTCCCTTAATTACAGTACAGTACGTCTTTCTTAACTAAGTTGTGTATCCAAGACAATATGGTAACAAATTCCACAAATTTCTTAAACAATCTAAAAATACAACTATGAAAGGTACCACATGGGACTAAGATACACATGAATAATGACAATAAAAAAAATCTGGGGATATTGTTGTATGCCAGTGATCCACTAATGATAATAATGGTAATGTACTGTAGTTAGAGAAAGACCTTTTAATAATAGGAAGTAGTTCTCTTTTCAAGTACAGTAGAGCATAGCACAATTTCTTTTATGAAAAATCTATTGGGCCAAAACTATTCCCTCAACTTGAATTCTTCACCTTAAGGTAATTATAAGATTAAGTTCAGAGCCTTGTTGAAAAATAAGGGAGTATATGTGACATTGTTCAATACTGTACAAGGTTGTCCATCAACGTAAGGGGAGTGTCCGGCTGAAGCATGAAATTCGTTAAAAATTATCAATCAATATCAATTTCATGTCAGCAATTGCTTGACATAGTAAACAGCATCAAACTATGACATGAGTACAGTATATTACTATAAATACAGTAAAGATCAGAGATTACTAATGCTAAATAAAATGATTCCCAGCAAATGTGTGATACTCAAATTAATATAGATTATCTTTTCAATTAAATGTGTAGATACTTGAGCAATTTTCTTGGGTGTGTAGTGATAAAATCAAATACTGTACAGTCTTCCACCAGCCATCTTTGGAGCACTTGCCTACTAAGTTATCATGCCTGGTCACTGCCAAGGAGGTAGGAGCAACCTCACTCACCACACATCTCCTGGTATACTAGAAGTGCAGCAATGCATTCCTCGTACTGTATTATTCATAGTGTTTGTATCTTCTGTGTACTAGTTCTATATATTTTTAAATAGCTTCCAAGCAGTATCTCTCTGAAAGCCCTGCAGCAAGCAAATAAACAAGAAAATTTTCAAATCAAAACCAAAGACAAAGACTTGCCTGGCACATTACCATGGATGGTTGCGAGGTCATAGGCAGAAGCAGTGTTAGATGTCATAAGTTTCTTGCTACATTAAGACTGTGCCACTGACCTCCTTGCATCTCTTATGTGGACTAGCTGTAATATAATGGCTCCCAAGCACCCCAGCCATCCCTCTAATAATATGTTCATAAAATAATAAATATAACGACTAATGGAATTGAGGACAGGGATACTAGACCCCATTCTCTCATAATCCCTGACTCAAAGAAGGAAGCAGATTGTAATAGGATTTCAGTCGAGTAGAATCACCCGGAGATATCAAACCCCACTGGACCGGAAAGAAGTCATCAAAACACCAACACCTATCAATCATCTCAACCTCAAACTCTCCTGAAGAAAACAGAAAAGAAGAGGAAAGAAAACTTGTCAATGTTTCACTTCTGTAGAGTTGGAGGATTAATAAATAATACTGTAGCTGTAAAATATTAAAATCATCATGAATGTGTATACCAATTGTTCAGTAACAACTTTCAGTAATGATATTGTGTAGCAGAGTTGGAGGATTCATAAATAGTGATGTTATGTAATTTCTAAAATGATTTTGATTTGGTTTATCCTACGTTCAGCTTTTTAAAGTGTGAGCCAAACACATTATTACTGTGTTATAATTGTGGTATTGTGAACATTAATAAACACAAGTAGTGGTAAGTTCTATAACTATTTTCTCGTATTTTCTATAAATTCATCTTTTCAAGGGTAAGTGGGTTGTGTTGATAATGTAAAAGGGGAACGTGGTAGACAAAAGGTTGAGAACCACAGTAGACGGTGATGGTGGTTAGCTGCTAGTGAGTGGTGGCACGAGGCCAGGTTATGACAGGTCATGAGAAGGAGAACATGCACACATCTCTTTGTTGTTTTCCACTAAATTTCACATATATTTGTGTTTATTTCCTGTACCCCAAAATTCATGGCCAGGAACCCATCTCCACTGTACATCACTTCTCATGGGAAAATTAGTTCACATATCAAAATTCTGCCCATCACTTGGGTTTTCAGAAATGGAACCCTTTTGATAAACAAGGACTTCCTGTATATATAGCTTTAATGCATTAACTAACCTGGTGAGAGTGTTGACTTTTGTGTTGATTCTATCTAGGGCTTCTTGATGTTGTGTCTGTTGAAGAGCAATCTCAGCCCTGAGCATAGATGTTGCCTCCATTTCCTGAGTAAGTGCTGCTGCCACCTCCACCCTCCGGCCTTCTGCAGCATCACGAGCACGACTTATCTCCAAAACGGCTGATTTTAGTTCATCTACAACAACAAAATTAAATATTATGGAAAAATGGATAAACATGCACCACCAAATATATCTACATGACAAAAATAAAACATTACAGCTAAGAAATGAAGGATTTAAGTATGATTTAGGAACCCCCTGATACAGCTGCCTTTTACAGAGGTGTTGACTGTTTAATGGCAAGACAGATCATCCAGACAAGACAGTTTGTACTGAAAACAGGGCCTCACCAGTCAAACCAGGGTGTTGAACCTCTGATGTGGCGGTTGTGATGAAAACTACTGTGGCTTCAGGTCAGGAGCCGAGATCTCAGTTGGACTAACCAAGGTTCTCACATTATATACACATTATATAAAATTTCAAGATCTTATTGCCCTTTTATATGACTTTAAAACACAATAAATAACTGATAGATACTGTACTGGGTCATGAGTAGCTCTGGATGGGTGAGTAAACTGATTATAGTGTAAATGTTGTCCATAAGAATGTTTCCTGGCACTGTGTAATACAACAGACACCCCCTGGTCAGTCATTACTACATCATAAGTGGTTGGAATTATGACCATTTCATAAGGGGCAACAAATTTCTAATGCAGCAACTAGCAGAAAGAGAATTTCACTTGAATCAAACAGATTTTAACCCTTTTGCTGCGTGTCACGCACTTGCCATTTTATTCTGGCTACCGCCAGATGATTTTATTCAGCTTAGGGTCGTTCCCGCTGTGAAAGGGTTAATATTTTAACTGTTACGTATTTCAAGCATAATGAAGGAGCACAGGAACCTAACCTTGTAAACCATGTGTTTCCACACTCAATGGTGGGCTCTGATAAAGAGGCACTTACTGGTGATAGCTCTCACAGGTCACTCAGAACACCCAAAGGCCACAAATGCAATTGTAGATTTATTATAAATTATCTAAAAATGTCACAATCCCTTACCAAGTGTTAGTGTGGTGTCACCACTTGATGGACTAGGTAATGTTGAGGACACAGAAGTAGGGCTGGTGAGTCCAGCCCTCCCTTGAGTTCCAACAATGTCTGCTACAGCTGCAGCTGCCTCATCAACCTCCTGTGGAATGATTGGAATGATATAATATCAAATGAGTAATTTTATATATCGAAGCTTTCATATCTATCTATCAATAACTAGTACCAGGTATACCATTTTCCCCTTGTATATGAACATAAATGAAAGAGTGAAACAAGAAATCCCATTCTAGGGCTAAAGGCTAAGGTGAGTGAATGATGAAATCCTGCATGCTGAAAACTCCTTGGCAAAGCTGCTGCCTGTACTGTTATTATGCACTATAATTCAGTGGTAAGGAGCATATCCAGGTGATTAATGGACTTGTTTCAAATGCAGCTCATTGCCTAGTCACAGCCAGGGCCTGTTGGCCAATACAGTATATTACATACAGCAGTGTTGCCAGCTCCTTATATTCCTTATACTGACTCCAAGCCATTACAAGAGATTGTCATCATTCACTTATAACCAACTTTCTCAGCATATAACAGATGACATTTATAAAAAGCCAAATTAAGGATGGTCAAAGTCTTCAAAATACTGTAACCACTATACTCAGATCCAACCAGGTGGGAAAGTTTGCAACAATGCATGGTTTGATATACTAATTTCTTACAGTAACCACTCCATGCTTCCTGGACAAAGATAGGTTCTTCCCAAGGGTGCTTAATGGTGATCTGTCTTGTAGGTCAATCATGAGGACCCATTAAACATATAAATAAAGGTGGATGTCTTATCATTATATTGAAAGGAGAAAATCTTAGAGGAGAGAGTCTTCTCATGATGTTATGTCTGGGAGGTAGACATCAGGAGGACAGGGCCTCAAAAAATATCAGGTAGCTACTGTACTGTAATAGAGTAGATCGCCATATGAATCTTCATCATTGGAATGAATGTTTAGATGTAAGGTCTCAGTAATAGATAATAACAAACCTGAGTGTAGCTGTGTATGGATGTTTCATCATCAGAACGAATGCCATCAAATATACCAAGTCCTCTTGGGCTAATGGGAATTAATCCTCCAACACTGTTTCCACCCACTGGGGTGAATACAGCTCCTATGTCTCCTTCACTGTGAAATAAAAACTTAAGAATTTGATACCACATTTCAAGTTGTCTATATGTTTGAACCAATAAAAATACCCACCATACATTTTGTTACTTTATGCAAGCATGTGATTACACAAATTAGTATACCGTACGTGTATTACTAAAACAAAATCTTACAGGCAACCTTCAAATTTTTTTGATCCTAAATTTCCCAATCACAGAAATTCAGACATTTTAATTTCTTATATTACTCATTTGCTTCTTTGGAAATAAGAAAATGAAGAAGTAAGAATTTGTCTAAGCCCAAGAAACATTAATGAGTTAATCCAAAGTTCACCAAGAGTCTGGGTCAAGATTATGTTTATGGTAATTATATCCTAAATGTACCAGACAAGAATATTTCGTGACTACTGGATGGTCAGTTCACAACCTCATGACTAACTTGTGGTGTTGCTAGAATCAGGAGTATGTATCGTTAAACATAAGTACTTTACTTATTTTAAGCTAGAAAACTTGGCTTAAAAGGCAAGACAGGCAATCCTTGGATTCCATTACAAAAAGTGTTTTCTTCATGCTGAGGTAAATTTCACTCACGTGTCTTGCCTCTCCACACACTTATCATCACACATTCTTATCTCAACTAGAGGGCAGCATTCCACTTAACTGGCTAGTAGGTGTTGTTTCTGGCTCTCTTTAAATAAAGGCTAATTATTACCACATTTTTGGTTCTTATTTCTAGATTGCCAAGTATACCTACCTTGTTTTTACACAAGCTGAATTAACTGTAAATTTGTAAGATGATTTATGTGAATAAAAATCCATCTTATATTTATTTGTCTGCTTGTCTGTCTACTTGCATTTGGTATCAATGGAAAGGGTTATTTCTTGTAGAATGCAATGATAGCACAAAGAACCATTTTCAGAAGCTGATAGGAATGATGGAAACATTCATCTATGGTCGGTTGCATCTACACTGGCTAGATGATGACAGAAGGTACCTTTCCTGTAGCCAGTTATGGGAAACTAATGAAAACCTGGAACCAAACCCCCTACTTCCATGGACCTAAGGTATTTTTTACATGGGTTCACTTTGTGTGTGTGTTTTCAAGGAACCTTAACCACCAATACTGTACTATATAAATTATGGGTTTACTGTATATAAGATACACTATATGGGACAGGTAATAAGTCTTACATCAACCACCTGATCAAATGACATACCTGGATGGAAAGCTGTCTGCTGAGAGATTGGACTGACTAGATTTGTATGATCCGGTTTCTTGATCGTAAAAGCTTCTGGGTCGTTGGGGTTTCACTATTGGCAAGTTACCCACTGAAGTGTTGCTGGCATTTAAATTACTTTCACCACTTTCATATGAATCATCAAACTGCTTGGGTAATATATTGTCAAATAGCTGGTGGTAACTGGGTTCATGTAGAGATTCGTCATCATACAAGACATTCTTGTCTGGGATGTGAAGGCTGCTCTCCAGGTCATCAGAGTCCTGAAGGGGACTCCTAATCTCTGTTTTTTCAGCATCATTAGTGTTTCCCATTTCTTCATTTGCTCTGGGAAGGCTCTTTTGCCTTTCACTTGTTTCATTGGTTGACTTAAGAACTTCCTTAGCTTGCTGAAGTTCTCGTAATTGTGCTAACTTTTCCAAGCGGTCAGCATAAGGAGTTGAATTGGCTGTGGTTGGTGCTGGGGAGCTGAGGCACGTCGTGGGGGCACTGTGATATAACGGAGAATTTACATCTGGTCTGTCTGGTCTTGAGAGATCATCATCAAAGGATATTAAGTGGGAGGGAATTTTCTTCTTTTTTCTTCTCAGATCTCGTTTTCTTAAGACCACCGGATTAACTGGTGATAATTAAAATAGAAAAACATTTACAGCACAGTTTTATATAGTACGTAGTCGGCTTAAATTAAAATAGTATGATAATTTCTTATTTACAACAAAGACACACCAAGTTGTATTATCAGACCAAATTTAATCACAACTTTTGAACCCAAATGAAATTGTTGTCTAAATTGGAGCCCAACACTAGCCCAAGTTTTCACCATTAAGAGTCTACTGTATTTGGTTAAACTTAATTTTTTCCAAGTAACATTAAATAATAAAACGAAAATAGTACTTATCAGCCTCAACTGATCCACATGAAGGCTCAGAAGCAGTACAGTACTGCCTTACTAAGACAAGGAGAAGCCATATATGATTGGGTGTAAATGGGACTGCCCAGGATGGGCCAATAGGCCCGCTGCAGTTTCCTCCATTCTTATGTTCTTATGATTGTTTGATATTGTGAAAGGAAGTGAGAGACCCATAGTATGAATTGTCTTTTATGGATGAAAAGGTTCAAAACAGATGAGTCTAGAGATTGGAGTTCGACCCAGTGATGTAAAACCTTACAGGTCCTTGAGACAACCTCTGGTTCAAATTAAATCAAATCTTGATTCTACTGGGTAAAAAATGCTTCTTAATGAGATTTATACAGCCACTAAATATGTCATGTTCTCAGGAAGAGGAAGGTTTTGCCAGGGGTTTACTCAGTGATGATACAAATAGAAAAATAGATCAATCATGTTCACAGTAAACCTCCAGTCAGTAAATAAAACCGTCAAATAAAGAAACAATCGCAGTAATATTCAGTAAAAACCCCGAGTATTGGACCACCTGAGTAATGACACGTCCAAATAACAACACAAATCTTGGGAAATTAAGAATTTGAAAAACTATGCTACGTGTCATTGTTAATGTTGTGGAGCAATGTGACGTGGAATGCTTGGTCTTGTCCGGTACTCAGGATTTTTGCTATATGGTACTTGGCTGGATTAACTTTATGTTATATTAATAGTTTGATTTGTTTACCTATGATACTTAGAGCTAAAGACGAAAACCAAGCTTTTCTCAGGAAGGGTACTGTACATTATGTGAATGTTAGTTTTATAAATGTCTGCTGCACTTCTGAATAATATAAATCCTTTATGCCACTTTGTTGTAGCTTTACACACATTTATTATAAAACGTAAAGAAATTCACAAGAAAAAGCAAAACAAAACCCAACTGTTACAAAGACAAAATACAATTTGAAAGCTAAACACTTACCAGTGTGGTTGGCATCTGAAGTGGTGGCTATCTGTGCTTCTGGTTCAGGTTTCACATTAGGGGCAACTTCAGGTTTTATTCTGGATACATTCTGGCTCCCATCATTTAACTCAACTTTGTCAATGTTAATAGCAAACAGTATAGAGTCCAGACCTGAGAGAAGAAGACAATGATCTAAAACCTCAAATCACACAATGTTATCTCTCATAAAACTGATAAACTTCACACACAGGCATCCATAATAATGCTTGGTAAAAGATAACAATTAGAATAAACATTTTAAGCTATTGTGAAAAACCTGTAACAATAAAACTGAACAGAGGCGTATTTGGGAAGGGGGTTCATAACTACCATACACAAACACCCTTTTTCAGTCAAGATGTCTTTAAGGTTCAATAAATTAATTTGAATCAATACATATAGAGGATTCACCTTTTGCTACACATGTGTTCATTTCACACGCCATTCTTTGCTGTCACCGAGTTACAGAAAAAGAGGATTAGAAGGAATTCAAAATTTCAAGTCCATGTGGCTTTATTCAGTTCAAACATATATTTGTCCTCCCACATTTGTCCACTATAAATAAACACCTCACAGTTAGTGCTATAATGGACCCTAGATAGTGTACAGTAGGGCCCTGCAAATAGTAATAATACAGGGGCAGATCCAGGAATATCAAAAGGGGGGAGGTCCAATAAGTTGTGGGTGGGAGAACATGGAAGCATATGAGCCCACCCAGCTATTTTGAAGCCATGTACACTCGGTAAAAAAAATTTGTTCAATTCTTGTGCAAAACAAAATGAAACCACCAACGAAGGCTTTTGATAAAGGCCTGGTAGCCATGCGTGTGGATTGTTCAATTCAAAATTCATCGGACTCTACCAATATGGTAGTTTTTTTATCGAGTGTACACTTGACTTGATATTAAAAGATATTCTCAGGTCAATAGTAATTGTACTTTTAACTATACTGTACACAAAAATACCTGAGTACAATACTGTATTAAAGAAAAAGTATGGGAATTTTCTGATGAAAAGGGGGGAGGGAGGGGATCCGGACAAACAGGATACCCCCTGGATCCGCCCCTGTAATAAACACACACACACACATGCACACACACACACACAAAGATTATTCTCTCCCCCTCCTAATCCAGATATCAAGAAGCACTCAACACACTGACCCTCTCAGCTCTCTCTGACCATCACCATGACCTCATCTACAAATTTGGTGAGAAGCTTCTGCACCATCCTCGACACCATCTCCTACTACCACCCGAGATCCCTCGTCCCCGAATTACTGTTTGACACCACAACTGCATCCAGCCCATACGAGCAGGTACTGATCGCTATAAGAACAGCCCAGTTCCAACCATTGTAAAAATTATCAACAACTCATAATCAACCAGTGTTCACTCCCAGTCAATCTTACCCTTTTTACTTTGTCACTATGTTGAAATGCCTAGTAGTATGACCTTCTTCCCACCTAGTTATTATATATCATATTTGGATCACATATGTTACTTGTATATTATTTGTCAATCAAGAGACCCATTCTCTAATTATGCAGCTGTATATTTTCAGCCTTCCAGCTGCCATGCTCTTTCAATAAACCGCTAATTATTATTATTATTATTATTATTATTATTATTATTATTATTGTATTATTATTGCAAACAGAATCAGCCCTCAAAAATTCTTAATAAAATTGAAACAAATTCAGTCAACTGTAGATATAGATTTATGGTACAGTATATATACTGGTTTATTATTTATGTGGAATACTGTACTTCTATACACGATTAGTAATTAGTTATTATTTATTAGAACTAAACACAAAGTAAATCTTTCTAACAACAAAAGAAAATGTACATAAACAAATGGAAAAATAATGGTACAAAAATTTTTCTTTAAATTAAATAGATTCCAGTATGTATACTGTAAAGATAGATTAAAAAATGTTGAATTGGGGTCCGAGCTAAAGAATCAAATTGAGTTTTCTTTCCAAATTTGAAATCAAACTAAATATACTGTACATTACTGATATTTGGCAGAGCTCTAGTGTACAGCTCCCCCTTAATACTGATGGTGCCCCTCAAAATATAAAAAATATTTTTCTTTTGTGAAGAATGGAGGAATGTTTCCAAAATTCTTCTATTGGCACCACCCAAGGGTAAGCTGCTTTTATAATATGAAGGTTATTAAATAAGTAACAAGACAAATGGATATAACTGCAGAAGTAATAATTTATTATTAATGATCGTATACCTATTTTTCCACATATATTAATCTCCCTTTACAGCTATGCACTTGTCCCATCTTTCTTCAAGTTTTTTTAGTCCTGTGTTGAAAAATTCTTTCGTTTGACTTTGTAACCAATTTCAGATTTCTTTCTTCACACGTTTTCTTAAACTTCAGAAAATCATGGACGACGTTGTGTACTGTACCAACACTGGCATTCAAATCTGTCGCAATTTGTTCTATTGTAATGCGTTGGTTTCCCCAAATTTTCCTCTCAATATTCTGGTGCAATGTGGGTGTTGAAACTTAGACACACCGTACGGCACCATCTTTTCATCCACAATGCTTGTTCGATCATTCTTGAACTGTTAAACTCACTTGTACACTTGTAAATTTTTGTTTGACTGATGCAATTGCTTCCACATTACAGGGACATTCTACGATGAATTTCACTTGGTTTTATCCCTTCCGAATTTAACAAAACTATAAACAGACCATTGTTCTTCCAAAGTACAAATTTCAAGAAGAGTGCTCATCTACTTACTTGAAACTAATCGAATGAACTGACAAAACAAACAGATGAAGATGTAACTTAAGCATGTCTTAACATGTCATAACCATAACATGATCGCTGCACTTGCCCCTCCCCATTGGCGGCTACATAAAAAAGTCTCTTCACTTATTGAATGACCCTCGTTTATAGCAACTTACCAGGGGGTCTTTAGTGCATTATACAGGATCTCCCTATGGCAGCCCATGTTAATCTATTAGTCCTTTGGATAAATCATTTACCCTTCCCTCCCCCATGTGCCATTATACATAAAGGGGATATATCACTGTAGGTGTTTCAAACAACTGAAAATTTAACTACATGTATGACCATGCAACTAGCACAAATAGCATGGCAAATGGACCTGCTACAGTATTTACAAAACTAAGTGAACCCACACATACCCAAATGAACCCAGGTTTCAACTAGTATTAGTGGTTCAACGACTGCACACTGGTCACAAATCAAAGGGAGGACAGAGAGGATTGCTGAGTCTCCTGGCTTCAGGATCAATTCTCCATTTCTAATGTTCACAGTTACCCAGCCGGACCACTAATTCTAAGTCATCTATAAACAGTAGAGAAAAGGACGTGCAACAAAAATAACCAGGACTGATGAACAACCATATTCCCTATAAGAGTTGACTTAGCAGGTTCGGAAGTCACCATTCCTCTCGTGTTATCCTGAATCCTCCAGGAGAGAGAATCCTTTGTAATTCATAGCTATACATAACAGAAACAATAAATACTATGAATAAGATGAAGCAGTTGACAATGTCTACCCAAGAAGTACTGTGTGAATACTGCACAGGTAAGAGAGAAGCAGGATGAACCTAAAAGTAACCAGCAACTTCTGAAACACCTTGACAAACGACATAACCCTTGAAGACCATAATGTAAAGCTCCTAATATTGAGGAGCAAGACAGTAAATAGTCTCTCTTTACCCTAATTTCTTATAAAGGAAGAACAGGAAGAGGCTTTAGAAAAAGTTAAAACAATAGTTACAAATAATAACAGCCAGACATCAGGCATAATAATAAATCTTTAACTCCCTGGAAAGTCTGAAGTTTCTTTGTAATTTCTAGTGCACTGGAAAGAAAGATTTCCATTGCCAGATCTTTCAGTCGAAGAAGAAGGCATCAACATCATAAGTAAAAAAAAAAAGTATTATCTAAAATTCTCAGTCATGGCAAAGAAATCCACCAAAAGACCCAAATCCACAAGACAAAGGAACTACTCAAGAGAATAAATTTAAGAAAATGACTCCAACCAACACCTATCCAGAAGTTTTCACTTTTTTGAGGCCAAGGCATCTGCTCAAGCATTCCAAGTTCCAGTAATACTGTATTCTTGGGAGTTACACCATACAATATTAAATCCACTTGTAACAAAAGCAGTTTCTCTATAGACTGTCCATAAAGGAAAAGAATGACCAAATCTCTCTTCCACTGCAGGCTTTGGGTGTTATAATGCCCACAAGGAATGCAATACACCCGTTTTTTCTAAAAAAAACAATTTTTGTGATAAAGTCCAGAATGCAACGTCTAGCTTTATACCTACATATGTATATGCCTTGCAAACTCGCCAGGCCAACATACAGGCAATTAAAACATCTAATAATTACTTAAATACGTAATATTAGGAGGACACGTCACTACCTGGCATTTAATTGGAATTTTCAAAACCCCTCCCGCACAAACATCACTACCGCCATCTTCTTGCCTGGCGACTAGAAGGTGCAGGTCTGTCAAAATACAGAAGAATTATATCCAACATCTGCCTGTTAATGCCCATCTTGGGGTGGGTCCTGGACCTCACAATATTGAACTAGTTTGTGTTGAGACACACAAAAGAATCACAAATGCCAGTACTAAGGCTAACCACCTTCTAACATGCTAGAGCCCAGACTCAGTTGGGTTAGTAGCAAATGTTAACAACCTCATGAAAAGATATAAGTAAAAGCAAGACTTGCCTTACCTCTAAGATAAAATTCAGACCTACAATAAATCTGACTAATACATACATGAAGTGTCCTGTACGGTCGACACTTAACTTTTCGGTAGAAGAAAGGAAGAGTAGGGGAGAGCTGATCAGCTATGACTGTCCTCTCGCAGTGCTATCCTGGAACTGAAGTGCTAGCGGTCAACGTGTCTTGGGTTCTCTCATTTGATCACGTTCACTTGGGTTCATAACTGGTGGAGGTGGTCAACACAGTGATATGGTACTACAGTATTTTCACGCTAACCTGGCCCATAAGCCACGCCCCTCTGTTATACTAATAGCTGATCGGTTCATAGAAAATTCTAACTAAATGTGTTCACAACTGGTAAGCAGACCTGTTATTATCTAAAATAATGTTAAATATCTGAAATATCCCAATGTAGATGATTTCAAGTCATTAGCACTTCAGAGAGGATGTTAGAAATTTTAAATATTTATCATAAAAGGTCAATAAAATACGTGCTTATACACGCGCAGTCCGGGGGGCGGTAAATCGCTCAAGGGAACCAATCAGCTATTTGTAGCTATAGACAAGAGGCGTGGCTTATGGGCCAACTTAGCGTTGAAAGGGTATAGTTGGGCGCTCACACCTCTAATGAGACTTTCAGTTCTTTGGTATAACTTCTGTGTCAGGTCCTCCATCTCTGAAGCTGACAACAGAGGGGGAAGGGAATAGTAATTGGTTCACCTAAGCCATTAACAGATTAACCCAGGCTGAGGTTGGGAGGCTTTTCTAAATTAGCTCAAAGACCCCCCCATGGTAAGTCACCCAGTAATAAGACATCAACATGGCTGAGGGTGAATGTCAGAAAATTGACAGAATCAACCCTCCACCCCTTACCAGGCATACAGGATAACAAGAGCTGAAGGTACATACATCAACTCCAATCTAATGGACTTCACCTACCCTGAGGCTTATTTCCTACAAGAAATACTCTAGTATAAACAAGACATGGAATATTATGCACTGAGGCTATCATCCTGTACTGTACTGTATACCTCCAACACCCAAAAATCACAATTATAAAAACATGAGATTACCTTTTGTAACCAGATTGAAAATATATTTATGGGTACTGTATTTAATTTTTATATATATTTTCAACAATCGGTCAAGGAAATGTAAGGGAGTTTATATATCTTCCACTTGACCAAGTGCTTTACATTCCTTTAATCTGCACAAGTCAACTAGGTTGGGGAGAGTAAGTCTATCTTCACTGTTAAACACACAACACTCCCTAAACACGAACAAAAAATAACAGGTTTAGGCATTACCTCTTGAAACACACCCAACCACAGCAGACTTTTATATATCAATCTCTCACATAGTCTAACTCCTCCTGTGTACCTTTCATCTTGATGTAATAAACCTTCTTTACTAAATATCATTCCATCATATATCCTTTGTGGTCAAACCAACTTTCATTCATACACATTCATTCTACCCACATCAATACTGTAGTTAAAACACCTACCCTAACCTAACCTCACTGAACCTATAACACCTAAGTAGCCTAACCTGACCTAACCTAATCAAATAGGCTGAGCTCAAACATAAAATGCCATGAAACTGAAAGCAAAGAAATCACTTACCAGCTGCTAAATTGGGCAGCATTGCAGCCCTCTCTTGGTCCCGCAGCAGAGCCCAGGGTTCATACCACTGTTGTAGTAGTGTTTCATCACACACAACAATCTTGATGACATAAGAAAGATAACAATTCTAAGTTGCAACACCAAAAAAATAATATATCTTAAAAAAAAAATTCCCCACAGATCCAAGGTAAAATTCATGAAAATTCCCATTAGTTACTAAATATAAATGGCTAGGCACAAAATCCTGAAGAAAAAAAATATAATAATAATGAAATTGCATTATATTACCATTTCTATGAATGGATCATGAATCACTGCAAGTTCCAGAGTTCTGCCAATCAATAAAACTGTACAATACAGAGAAAAAGAACCCTACTGACAGGGAACTCACTTGCATACCTAGATCTCTTGAGGCATTTGTGTGAGAAATTACTTTCAATATTTTAAATAACAGAAGAATTATACAGTAAACACTTGATTTCCACAGAGGTTATATTCCCAGAGAAAGCTGCAGATATCAACTCTGCAATCCCATAAGCAAATCCCTAGAGATGTGCATAAAACATTTCTCTCACTATGTAACTTAACTGAAGCCATGTACAGTCCCCCTCCAAAAAAAAGAATCGTTATATTTTCTGTCACTACAATTTGAAATGCCAGAGGAAATGCTTTATTATGATCTCAGTGCATCAGCATAAGTAGGTATACCTTCTCACCATACTAGCAACAGCTGGAGATGGGGGCAGGATTGGAGGAAGGAGTCGTCCTTGTATGGCATATGAGTTACTTCAATACAATATAACAAGAAATCCATTAAGCTATATTAATGTATGTAACATACAAAAAAGTAGTGAGGGTCAAACTGGATAGCACCCTTCTCATTTATGTCCTGGGCCAAGCAGAACTTAAACCAATGACATAGTACAGTAGTGAGAAATACTAAGAGAACACTATCAGACACTGCCCATATCCCATACACAACTACATACCGAATCTCTGATTTACAATAAAACTAACATCTCTCTCATGTTTTCACCACCAATATATAAAAATTAAATTCTGAGGAAATAAACTTTAAAATCACAGTTCATGGTATAAATAAGATTCTCAAACATTAAAAACTATTAACATTTTAAATCTAAACATATGAACGTATGATCATTCACATGAAAAAGATGTAAAAAAAAATACATATTTTTAAACACAATATTACCTTTACAGTAATGTACTTATAAAGTTCTTGTTTCTTTGAAATTCCCTTATACAGTAGAACCTTGATAAATCTGACTAATTGGGGCAGACCCCAGTCCAAAAAATGCAAAAGTCCGAAAAGAAGAAAAAAAAGAGAATATCCGAACTGTTTAAAGAAAATCAGATGTTGTTATGTTATTACTACACTTCAACAACTAAGGTCTGTAAGTGTATAACAAGGTTATTAAAACAATATTACATCAATAATAACAAAAAATATGAAATGGAATTCTCTGGGTTGAAAATCAGACTTACTCAAGTCTGGTTGTCAACAGCTGTTATTTACTGTAGAGTGTTATATATAGGCAACCACAGAATTAGTCTTATGAATAAAATGAAAACTGTATGCTGTACAGTAATATAAAGATAAAAATAGAGCAAATAATTGTAAGAGTACAGTATATTGTATGTGGAAGATGAGAGTGTTTATCTGGGAGGAGGGCTAACTTTTTTTGGAGCGAGTTGTGAACTGATGGAACAACCTGGCAGAGAGTGTTGTGACGGCACTGAGTGTGAGCTGTTTCAAGACCAGACTTGACCAACACTAGAGCAGGTTCAGATACATTCAGGAGCCAGTACAGTAAAACCTCACTAAGGTGGACTAATTGGGGGAAAGGGGTGTCTGGGATAAGAGGTTGAAACAAAAAATGAGTTCAACATCAATGTGTCCAATTTTTATGAAAGAAATACATGTTTTTTAATAAAAATTTATTTAAAAAAGTAATGTACAAGTACAGTACACAAAGTACTGTACACTTACCCCCAAAAATGGAAGGCAGATCTAGCTGGACATGCCTCTGACTACAAGAGGCTTGCAGTCACTCTGAGTCTGAGTGCTTTGAAATTCCAAATTCAGTGCAAATTTGCGAGGGAGCATCGCCTTTTCTAGCTTTTCAATCACCTTTAACCTTTCGTTCACTGATAAGGTTTTTAGGCTCAACTTTCTCACCACCTTTACTGACACCAAACACTTTCTTAGGGGCCGTGGTTATTGTCTAATTTTTCAATAATAATGCAAAAATATATATGCTACATGTAGCATATCCCTCCATAAAATGACAGAAGATTTTATATACAATGGGTTGCATCATGTCAGGTCAGTAACAGGATAGACACTAATCCCCTACTACACCTCCATCACAAGTGTTAAAAAGATGTAAAAAGTGATTACAGTTATGTATTACATTCAGGAGACTGAACAGTATACATGTACTCTTCCTGTAGGCTCAAGATGACAGTAGTAATATACATTACAGTAGTACTTTGTTAATTCATAATATAGTGTATGTACATGTACAGTGGTGTATATGTAAATAAATACAGCTCGTGTCAGTCCGTGTGAGGTGCATCATTTAGATGTGCGAAAAGTGACACACACACACACAGCTCCATCCACGAGGCACCTCGAATGCCCACATCATAGATTTTTATTTCCTATATATACAGTATTTAGATAAATTATTCAGTTTTATTTTAGTAAAACAATGGTGTTTCTAACTTAATTATATATTATTTTATATCGAGTCTCCATCATTGTATCATGTAGAAATATTTTGTTTAAGGATCTTTTACTGAAACAGTCTTGTAGAGAATTTATTCAGGATCATTACGGTATAAAATTCATCTCCCTAACACAATTAGAACAGGTGTTGTTCACTAGGGTTAGGAGGTGGTGGTGAGGGAGGGATGGAGCAACCCTTGCTCTCCCAATTGACTGCATTCTTGGGGGGTCTGTCCCTCTCCCTCCCTCTCACCCACTGCTGCCTCTCACTCATTTCTCTAACACAGGGGTGTCAAATGTAGCCATTGGGATGGTCAGGTGTGGCCTGTGGGATGACGGTAAAAATTTTCAGCCCGTGAAATTATGATAGAAATAGATATGAAGGAAAAAATGCAGATATGAATGAGTCAGTAAATTCCGAAATGATCTTTACATCATTGTGGCAATAATTGAATTTATATTGTTAATGCTAGTAATAACATTATTGTAAAGGTAAAGTGCTTATCAATCGAAATCAATAAAGAATTAAAAAATGAAGCCACAGCCATTACAGGCAGCAGCCAAAAGTTGAAACACTAAGCTAAACAGAGGAGGAGGAGAACTGGTGTACGCTGTTGGACCCTCTCCACTTTTTTGGAGAAATCGGTTATCTATAGCTATGACTAACTATGTGTAGAAATGATGTGCAGTCAATCCTTTGAAATGAAAAGAATATATAAGATTTATAGGGAATCTTTGTACACATGACGGTCGCATCAAACCCACTAACCACAGCCTTGCGCTAGTGTACGGGCTCAGTCCAGGTTCATAATTTGTTTCTTTTCCTTTCTTTCTCTTTTTTGCACATTATAAAACATCTATCTACCTACCTACAAGTTTCTTTATTAATCTCTCTCCCTCTCTCCACTGTACGAGTTCATTACAGGTTCACTTTGTTTCTATTGCCTTTGTTTTGTGTTGGCCCTGAAGAGGGTAACTAAAATAAGAATTGGCCCTCGAAAGGTTTTGAGTTTGACACCACTGCTCCAACACAATTAGAGCTGATGTTGTGAATAAAAGTTTATACATTACACTCTTTTACTTGCCATTGTCCTGAATAAGTTGACATCAGGACAAGAAATATTTACATTACGTTATACGCATTAAATAAACTCTCAAAATGGGTCATTACCTTAAGTGGCAATGTCGGAGTTTATATTACATCAACCCAAGTATAAAGGTAGGATATCCTACAATATAAATTGATACTCAAGGTTTGCTGATATGGATAGAGGTCAGGAATTAATGGTAGAGCTTTGATGGTGAGATCGCCAGTTTTTAATGAAGGTGGCGAGTGTTGTGTTTCTCTGGTAAGGATCATTAAGGAACCTAAGATGGCAGGTTACTTGACATTCAATGGTAGATGGTAGGATGTGCAAGACTATTATTTAAATCAGGAGAAATTATTTACAATTCAGGTAACTATTAAATATTAATTTAACTAAATATAACCTAAATTAAATGCAACATATACTGTACAGTGGTCCCTCGGTTAACGAGCGCCTCGGTTAACGAGATTTCGGTTAACGAGTTACCTCCCATAAGATTCTTAACTTCGGTTAACAAGCAATCCCTCGGTTAATGAGTTTCTTACGAGCCGACCTCAACAAGTTTTGGCTTGCACTTGGCGGTCAACCAGCTTTAGTATTAGTCCGCCAATACATTAATCGGTTCTAGGGTTTAAATTCCTTACTATTTTAGTAAATATCAAGAAGTTTATACTATTCAATAATTTTAAAAGTTTAATATAAAATTTTTTAGTCATTTTAACAATTATTGAACATAATTGAAGGTAAAGTGACTAGTTTAATGCGCCCCATCCAGCCTCTTAACACAGCAAACAAGCGTAAGTCTCTCTCTGTTTTCAGTGGAGGTAACATCTCGCTTGAAACTTTCTTCAACTAAACGCTTTTTTCTGTGTTTCCAAGCAAATGATTGGTAATTTAAAAATTTATTTGACATATTGACAATATATAGCACAGTGCAGTGTTATTTTAAAGAAAATATTCTTTATTTACAACAAGTTTAACTTTAAAAAACACGTGTTGACATTGTTTGAATCCAGCATGGGGCCTAAGAGATCAAGAAAAGCGATTTCAAACCAAACCAAGTAGGAAATCATAAAAAAACATGAACAAGGCATTAGAACAAATGCGCTATGCAAAGAATATGGCATGTCGACATCAACTGTGTCGACAATTCTTGCACAGAAAGACAAATTTAAAAAAGTGAAAGTGAGAGATAAATCTACAGGAGTGTTTAAAAGTAGATCCCTAATTGCAGAAACTGAGAGGTTACTTCTCATCCGGATTAGGGAAAAACAGATGAAAGGTGATTCAGTTTCTACTGAATTCATTTGTGAAAGAGCCTGGGAGATTTACGAACATTTAAAGACAGATCAACCTGGTTCTTCAGGCACAGAATTTGAAAATTTTTGGGCCAGCAAAGGCTGGTTCGAAAAATTTAAGAAAAGAATTGACATTTTCAGTGTTGTTAGGCATGGTGAAGCTGCTAGTGCTGATAAGGAAGGGGCAGCAAAGTTTTTAGTTGAATTTAAAGAACTGATGGAAGAAGAAAATTATCTTCCACAGCAAGTGTTCAATGTGGACAAAACTGGGCTGTTCTGGAAAAAGATGCCCAAAAGAACATTCATCACCAGAGATGAAGCCTCTTTACCTGGGCATAAACCCATGAAAGACTGTCTCACTCTATTGCTTGGTGCCAATGCTTCAGGGGATTTCCAACTGAAGCCTATGCTTGTCTACCACTCTGAAAACCCCAGGGTGTTCAAGCAACAGAAAGTGGTAAGAACAAAGCTTGGAGTTTATTGGAAGTCCAACCGTAAGGCATGGGTGACAAGACAGTTCTTTAATGAATGGGCTGTTGATGTGTTTTGCCCTTCTGTCAAGAGCTACCTGGATAAGGCTCCTGGTCATGACCCTGAACTTGCCAGAAATTTGGAGTATCAATTTGACTTTATGAAAGTGTTGTTTTTGCCTCCAAACACTACATCAATCATACAGCCAATGGACCAGAAGGTGATCAGCAACTTCAAGAAGTTGTACATGAAGAAAATGTTTAGGAGGTGTCATCAGGCCACTTCCAATGATCCTGAACTAACACTGAAACAGTTCTGAAAGACACAGTTCTGAAAGACACAATTCAACATCCTGGAGGCTGTAAAATTGATTGTGTCATCATGGCAAGAAGTCTCCACTAGATCCCTCAATTCTTCATGGAAAGCACTGTGGCCATCAGTAGTCCATGATTTTGAGGGATTTGAGGAAGAAACAGAGTTGGACCAGGAGATTGTGTCCATTGGTCAGTCATTGGGCCTTGAAGTGGAAGAGGAGGATGTGGAAGAGCTTGTGATGTCTCATGAAGAGGAACTTACTCCTGATGACTTGAAGCAACTGGATGAGATGTTACAGGTAGAGGCTGACAGTGGTGAGGAGGAAATTGAAAGTGATGACCATATGTCAGCTAAACAGTTGAAAGATGTGATTTACTACTGGGAGAAGTGCAGGGAACTGGCTTCAAAACACCCAGATGTGGAAAAAAACTGAACTAACTTTGTGTCATGTTGAGGACTCAGTGGTCTCCTTCTTTAAACATAAGTTAATGGTGAGGAGGAGAGATGCCCCACAGACCACAATTGACACTTTCTTCAGTAAAAGGCAGAGGGAACAAGATGCTATCCCTCAGCCTTCCACTTCAAGAAGGAGAGAGGATGTTCATGGTGGAGAATCTGTCAGTCCAGAGGTTCCTGACATTTTCATGGAAGGTGACTCTCCTTCCAAGAAGCAGTAAAATGCTTCTCCTCCACCTCCACTTCCTTCTCTTCTCCCTTCTCCACCTCCCACTTCAAATTCACATCATCATCATCATCCAGGAGCCTTCTACATACACACCTCAAAGTAAGTGAACTTTTCTACCTTTTATGTTGAATTTAGGCAATTTTCGGTGAGCTGGAACCAATTACCCAAAACCCATTGAAACAATGGTTTCGGTTAACGAGATTTTCGGTTAACGAGCAACCTGCTGGAACGGATTGTGCTCGTTAACCGAGGGACCACTGTATATAACTCCCAAATTAAATTTCTTCCAATATTTCTATCTTTCTGCTTTTCAACATATTAGATTAGCAGTTAGGATAGCCATAAATATCATTACTACTTAGCTTTCATCTTTACTCCCACCCTGACAATGGGTGATCTGACACTGCATGAGATCACATGTCACCTACCCTACCTGACATTGATCAGGTCAAGTCAGTAAGAGACCCACTAATCCCCTACCACACCTCCATTACAACATTTCTTACATCTTTTTCATAAAAGGAGTGAGTTTCCATCATCAATTCTGTGTTTTTGTGACTGAGGTGAGCAGTGTAATTTTGAAAAGTCTGGGAAGGCCAAAGCACCCGGGAAAACCGTGTCTCTGGAGGTGAGGCTTGACATTGTGAAGCGGCATGAGAATCTCCAGAGGCTGCGTGGGAGTCAGAGCGACGTCTTCACTCCACCTTCAGCCTTGAAGAGGACGTGTAATGATGACCAGGCTTGTTCTTAATGACATGTTAAGTGTTGGAGTGCTAGTAGTATTCCAGGATTTTTTTTTTTTTGTGATACATATGGATGTTTGAGTGGCCAGGAACCTATTCCATTGAACTTCATGTTATATTTATGATATTTCAACCTGTGATTGGGTTTTCTGGAACCTAACCCCATTGCAAATAGAGGTTTACCTGTGCTTGAAATAAATCTAAGTACTGTAGAGGATACCATATAATGCATCTGTATCTGCATGTAGCCAGACTTCACGATGTTTAAATGTTTGTTGGCAGTTTACTTAATTATTCTATACAGTACTAAGATGTCAGATGGGGGTGAGGCTACACCAGCCTGCATGTATCCCATCATATTATATTTATTACTGAATTAACTTATAATATATAAATTGATGCATTATTATCTAAGCCTTTTTTTTAATTACAGAAACCATTGAATTATTCTGTTTTGCATTTAATTTTTTGCCTAATATTTTTCACTTGTCTTGAGAGCTGAGGCAACACTCAATGTAAAGAAAATTTTTATAGTCTCCAAGAAAAAAAAATCCGGTCTATGACGATAAATCTGTGCAATATATAGAAATTCCTTTGCATAGTATCAGTTAACATTACCGTACATTATTAAATTTAAAAGTAATGAAGTAAGCAAAAAATTCAAAACAATATCTTTCGAGAAAAATGTCATCATCAACAACAAGACTTACATGCATGTATCGTTCAAGAGAATGTTCGTTGAGTAAACTCCTCAGCCATGCACGACCTCTACCTATATCAGTGGCAACATTCTTCAAGTGGAGGAAACGTTCATATTCATGCCGGGTTAAAAGTTCTCTGACATACCACCACAGCACTGAAAATAAATTGACATAATCATAAATATAATAATACTGTAATAATGGTAAACCATACTAACTATGGACAGATTAATGTGGCATAAGGAATCTAGTATAATTATAAAAGAACATATGTGTGAATATGATGACGATATCTTCTGTGACCCTCACTACAAAACATCCCCGGTCTAATCAGGTTCCAGAGGTGTAAAAAGTACCATACTTCATTACTTAAGTTAAAGTACTATTACATTAAAAAAAAGCTATGCAAGTGAAAGTAAAAGTACCATAACTAAAATGTACTTAAGTAAAAGGAAAAAAGTATCTCAAACATTAGGTACATAAAGTACCAGTAATGTAAGTACAAAGAATCGGCAATGATGAAAATTACCCAACTCAAATTAACCGCAATTGTAAACTACAGATTTCTTAGGTAATACTAAAAAAATAAATAAAATCCAAATGACTGCAGCCAACATTACTCTCCAACACTATTCTTGATTCAGTTTTAGGAGCAACAGGTTTTCAAAATTATTATTGTCCAGCCTTGCTTGTATTGGGTTGAATATCAGTCCAGCACAACTGAAGAGACATTAACAGGCAACAGAAGCAGCCAATGAGGTGTTGGTTCTAATGGAGATGTCCCTGTTTGATAGCTGCCTACTACCTACAGTATAGTACTTGCAGAGTAGGCAAAATGTGATAATAGGGTTTAAAAAAAATGGTATGAGTTGGCAGCTCAATGGATGTAAGTTGAAAGCTAACTTCAATTGTCTGTTACAATGTCATTTGAATTTTTACACAAGGGTGGTTTTAAAAATGTTGTAAAAGATATCTCCTAATCACGAACAGATATACTGAAATCATATTCATAAAACACCAATAGTAGCCTGACAAGAAAAAGCAAACAAAATAATTTAGCAAATGACTATGCCATTCACTACTCGGTAACAGTTACCACATGCTGAAGTTAAAAGTGAAATTTCGTCTCTATTTATACCTCTTGATGTATCACTATACAAAAGTGAAAAATGTCTTTCTTAAATATGATTATACAATAAATTTTATGAACATAAAAATTATTAGTAAAAGTTTTGTCATAATTGAAAAATCCTGAAAATTTCTCTTGTAGCACCATTTGGCAACTAAACTTTCTAAAGACAAATTTCTCACTGAATGTTATAGATACCATACCATTCAATGTTTATCTTCTCTTATTTTTATAACAAATCCAACTGCTAAATAAAATAAATCAAGAAAAATTGGTAATAACATACAGTATGCTGTTTTTCTGATGTAAGCTACAGAGTGTCAACCTGATTTACCTAAATATAATTTTGATGTACTGGAAGTATCTGTCATCTTGTTGATTATGTTGTAGTCCAGAACATTCCTAACATATGCACCACTGAGTGACTTTTTCATGCAAATTCCTCTCACCAGTTTTATCCCGATTTTTAATTAAGTGAATACCGCATTCCTCCAATGAAGTAAAAGTCCATCTGTATTCATTCATTTGATAGCTACATTATCTGGCGGGATAAAGATACATTAATGCTATAATTTTTGCACAAATTCAGTTAGAAAACAAATAAATAATGAATTGCTCTGGATTGATCAACCCTTAAGCCCAGGGTTAGGCTGGTGCTGGTGGGGATAAATCGAGAAAAAATCAACCTTTCAAAAAAAATGGTGGGAATAGGTGGACATTCTGGAACGTCACCCGAGGTGTGCTGGTCGGACGTTCTGGAACGTCACCCGTGGCCTAAGGGTTAACATTTGCTTCCACTGTGCATACAGTCACATCAACCAATCACAAAACAACACGTCATTTCAAAAGGCAGTGCTTATTTTGGATATCAATAAAAAAATTAACTTCTGTACTGTATAGTAGAGTACTGAAAGAAAACTGTAGTAACCGGAGAAATCCTATGATGTTTGGTAGTTTTACACTGCATAACACCCTTCCAACAACTGTCCAAGGCCAGGAGATTTATGTGCGTTACCACCAACACCCCTTTTGTTTGTGTACAGTGTTCTCGAATAATGGTACAATTTTTACTATTTTATTATATTTATAAAATTATAAGTTTGTTAATTGCAGTTTTATTACAAAAAACATAAGTAAAATTAAAACAATTATGACATTCAAATAAATGCAATTAAATATTTTTAAGAACTAAATGTGTATACACTTTATGGAAGTAAATATCCCATCTGTTTGTTCACCAGACTTTATGATGAGGATCTTCAAGTTTCAGCTGACACCAAAGAATCTGAGGGGTGAGGTGCGACTTACCTGCATGACGGATTTTGAAGTTAATGTGCACCAGGGACTTAAGACTTCTCACCTGACCTCTCTGACAACTAATGAATCAATATCTAAATCCAGATTCATCTAGGCAACAAAGATACAATGTATCATCACTTGAAACAAAACATTGTTTATAGGGACAGAGTTACACTGCTTTCAAGTGTTGTATCTATTCTGGGTGCTGGCAGATTCTGCTCAAGGGTGCTTGGTGATAATATGTCTCTTGTAGGTAACCCACAAGGCCTCACATACCATAAAAACATGTGCATGTGTGAGGGACAGACACTAACAAAAAGGATAGTTTTCTAAAATACACATACCAGGAGTTTCTGTTTCAGCAGCACCAGGCAGGGCGAGGTGAAGACTGAGTCCTGAGGTAACCATGTCTGTCACTTGTCTGAAAAGAATAAAATCTTGAATATATTCAACTTATGGGCTCCACATCACCCCTTGCCCAAATTATTTCTACCTTGCCCCATTTTCTACCAAGCTTGGAATCAAATCATGACATGTTACATACAGATACTGTTTTACTGTGACACAAGTAGTAACTCAATCAACTTAATGTACTACAATTAATAAAAATGATAAAGTAAAATGTTATAAGAGAACGGTTTAGTAGTGCTGTTAATGTGTGTACTGTGTAAGTGCCTTGGCCTGTGTCACCTCACCACTTGTATTTGCACAGTTATTATAAATCGACCCAGAGCAGAAAAATCCAGCTTTACCCAAGTGGTTGGTCTTCCTACCCATGTGAGGATGTGGCTGAACATGATGCAATCTTTCATAATGCCCAGAAATCCTTGTCCCAAGCCCTGAGCAGAAAGGTTGAGAGTGATTTTCTTGCCATTTTCTCAGATTTTACAGTAATTTCACATTACAGTATTTATAATTGACATTTGCTCCCAGACCCAGAAATAAAAATTTGAACAGATTTTCCAGAATTTACTTTTTAATTTTCAGAAAATGCTCCTGATTTTCAACCACAAATTTGATCCCAAACACGAAATTTAAGGAATTTTCTTGAAAAATTCCGAGCAAACTTTAATTCCGGCAATTCGAGAGTTGCAGGTTTGAGGGATTCTGGCTAAAGGAAATATTACTATTATAGAAATTTTCTTCAGCAGTGTTTATCAGGTGTTATCAAGGAAGGACCTCCAGTATTCAAAAGGCTCAGCCACATCAATACTGTTGTTATTCACTTTGTAACTTTCTTATTCTGGCATTTGGAGCACTATAAGAGGTATGGCCTTATTTTGGGAAAATTATATATGATAGTACCTGTACATAGACAGCTCATGGCTCTAATATACATGTATTAATTAAATAAATTAAAACTAACTCTACATAACACGGAATCATGCTATTAAAGAGCAATATGGCACAATGACTTCAACAAAGGGAAACTTTAATTACATGTACAGTACTGTACTTACTTTATGGCAGCAAGTCCCCTGCTAGGAGAGCGTAATTTAAGGCCATAAGAGAGGGCACATTCCAGCCTGGAACAGAGGGAAGCTACTCGTTCATCTGTCTCTGTGGCAAGTTCAGCACGTCCTCCAAACCTCACCTACAATAAAGAAATGACTCAGATTCTCAATGATCGAGGTTACAAAATAATGAAATGAGGTGCGAGATCCAATTTTATGACAAAGTTGAAAGTGAAACTAACAAATGATATTCAAATACTGTATATTGTACTCAACTAAACCCCTCCCTAGTAGAACCTGTATTTGACCTGTTTAATCTCTTCACTATGGGGATGCCACTTTTATTATTCTACTGTATTTGACTAGCACTGAGCTCAGAGGGGAGCCTGTACACAAGGGGCTAATGGAAAGATATGTTACAAAGCTCTTTTACTTAGTTGAAACAAAGTCAAATAAAATCACATATGAAGAGAAGCTATCTGGAGATAAGTAAAGTATTAGGTCATTAGAAAGTTCAATTAGAAGTGATAGGAAAGACGTGCTTGGAAGCAATATGTGGGGTGGTTAACATGCAAAAACTATGATAACACAGAAACTGGATAGAGATGTGGAAAACAAGTGTCAGGCAGAGAGTTTACCCTAGTATGTTACACTGAGTAAGTGGGAAGTTCAACATGGTAAACATTCAGAGGTATACAGTACTGTACAGTGCTCTCTCTTTCCCAAAAAGTATCGGTTCCTTTTCTCATCGACACAATGTGTCACAATGGGCGAATATTTCCAATCACTAATTGTGATTCCTGCATTATTTTAGGGGAGGTCTACCTGACTGCCTGTCTGATATTTGTGAGGTTGCCATTTATAGTTTCTGGCCTTTGTTGTAATTATGGAGAATCACCGTACTCCATCTTTAGCTAAATAATATACTAATGATATTAATGTAGCAAAAATATATCAAAGGCAGTCATATTATGTGGTTGTTTTCTGCTGGAAATCCATGACCAACACTAGTACCCAAGACTCATTGGAAAATACAGCTTGCACCGACAGACACGGAGAAATGTCACTTTCTGAATAACAGTGTAGCTATAAATTAATGTTTGTAAGCTATATATATAGCACTGTGTTTACCTCAATGTAATTGTAATAGGTATAATAATTATAATAGTCATATTGTGCTAATGACATTGAATAATGTTACTAACACTTGGCAGTACATTCTAGGAAATGAAAACAATATTCATAGAAATCCTGTTTTACTTTTCAATTTTATTATTAGTTTCTACCTATCAATGACACTATTCAGCCTCTGGAGCATAGAGGTTACCAGCCACCAGTGACTGTGTCAAAGCCTGTACCTCTTGCCCTGTAAGTTGCTCCCAAACCAGCAATGCACTGTTAACCACGGCTGCTCGGCTAAGGTGGATGCGTTATTATGGCCCCACTTCTTGGTCATTGCTGCCCAGATGTGTTCTATCGGGTCGAGGTCCGGAGATTTTGCAGGATGTGGCAAGAGCAACGAACTAGTAGGTCTTATAAGAAGGTTGTTTAGATTTATGGATGGTCCGTTGCTCGTCATGATCTTCAAGAGTGAAGAGCTTCCTCGTCTGGAGTACTGTCACCCCGTCTGGTCCCTGAGGTATGCTAGACTGTCAATTAATTGAAAATGTCTAAAGGATGGCCACCAGACTGGTGTTTGCTCTATGGAACCTCAGCTACCCTGAGATATTAGAACACCTGCAAAAACGTAGCTTATACTACAGATGGGCAAGGGGTGACCTAATTGAAGTTTATAAACATCTCAGAGGGCACTACTCGGTCGAATGTAAATACCTTGAGCTGGTGGGTGCCTGCCCCACAAGGGGTCACAGCTCAAGGTTCAAGAACCAACAAGTCCTGAAAACAGTGATGCCCAGTATTTGCCAACAGTGCGTAACAGAGACGTGACCGAAAGCCCAAGCGGCTAACGAGCCGATCAGTGGCGAAGAGGACAAAAGTAAAAGTAAAATAATTTAAAAGGGATTACATATACAGCTACCTGGCATCCTTGAACTGCTCCAAGTAAAGCAGACAGAAGTTCTTCTCTCTTATTGCTGTGAGGATCTGAAATCAACAAATATTCAGGACGACTTAGTAACATATACTACCATAATATTCACAAATAGGAAACATTATATGTTATCTCAGAATGGTACAATGCACCCCTACATTAACTGTGCTAATTCTATTCAATATTAAATACAGGTACTGTACAACAGTCAGAATAATACTATACACAGTAACTTATTACTGACTAAATTTCTGTACAATAGTTATCACGAATACATGTACCAAGGTGAAATGAAAGACTCAAAACCATGAGTTACACTTACCAATGTCTAAAGTTGAAGACATTCTTGTCTTCTGATGAAGCCTCTATTCACCCCTCTTTTGATTTGCTTCACATTTTTTCTGAAAAAATAAATAAATTAATAAACTGAAAATTAGTACAAAATAAATACAGTACAGGGTAACACACACATACAGTATAAACTGTATACTATACTTTATATATTTTCAACCTGCAATAATGAAGAAGATTACAATCCTGTTAAGTTCTATGTAATAAAACTGGTTGAACCTATGAAAATCACTTTGTACGGCCCACGGGTTATTTAGTATACGTACATGTACTGTACTGTACTGTACTGTGGTTCAACGCCTTTTTTTATTTGGTCACACTTTGGACTTTATGAAAAATGTTGGTCACACTTCCCCTTGAAACAACATTTGTGACCCTGACTGTATATATACTGTAGCTATATTTGTACAAGATTTATTAAGAGATGGTGAGTGAAAAATTAGTAGATATTTTTATTTCCAGTGAACATTAGCCAATACATACAGTACTTTATCCTTGTAATTTCAGAAACATTGAAACTTTTCTGCCAGCAAAAGTGTAAATTAATAATATAAGAGAGATTAATTTCACTACCAGGACTCTCTCCATGACTAACTTAATGACATACTGGTAATCATTGTTATCTAATGGGATTTATGCCACTGCATTTCCTTTTCAAGTATATTAAATTAGAGTTGACTAGTTTCATAGCAGACAACCTTACACATACCTAACCGTTGCTTTGTTTTAGTTTAGAAATACACAACTGTATTTTAGTTTAATACAGTAACAATATATTTTAAAGCCATATTTAAACATTTACTCATGAACAAAACAATCATAGGTCTTTGGTAACTAATTTTGGAACACAGCACAGAAAATGTTTACTCTCAATAAGTACCGTACAGTTAACTCCAGTAAAAAATAATCTATAACTACCAAATGTATAACATTCATGGCACAGTAAACTTTAGTGTAAGATAATGGCAACACCTCATCCCTCATATGTCTTTGTGACCAAGTCCTGTTACATTAATATTTACTGTCAAGCCACCATGCTGTTATATGAATTTTCTGTTTACAGTACAGTATATATTTCTAAAGTATAAGTATAAAAGAATAGTTTGGGTATTATTGCATTTACACACCGTTCATTCCTACCACTAATCTATTATCATATTCGAATAAGACGTCTAATTATAAGATAATTGTCATCAATTACATTACCGGCGGAAATGTATAATAACGGAGGCAACTTTTCCCAAAAAATTTATATTTTCTTCCATTAACCTCCAGCCATCGTCGTCTGCCTCTCCCCCAACACTGCGTGTCTCTCGCATCTCCTTTATAAATCATCACGCGCATGCATTCCCGTACACGTCACGTGGCCAATCAAAAGCGTTTTTGCTTTTAGAACCAATTAAAATGAGTTTGGGTTTAATTCGGAGTATATTTGGCCCAATCAAATTCGAGTTTTATTTTGGGTCTCTCATATTTTGAAATTCAAGTTCAGTGCCGACCATAGAAGTCTGTGATGGATGTCACTTAAAGTATCTGGAGCTGATTGCGAGTTTTTGGAAAAAAAACGTAGAAACTATAGCACTTTTTCGATCGCATGGTGTTCTTCCAACCTCAGTAAAGTGTACTAAGAGCAAGACTGAATGTAAATACATGTATCGCAAAGACCAACACATGTGGCGTTGGGTAAGAATCCCAGAATGCAACGATGATCAAGAACCAGGCCAATAAGGTAAGAAATAGGCGATTCCATTATATGGTGAGAGTCAGTTAGTTAGGTTAGGTTAGGTTTTTGTTTTTCTAGTGTTTTTTTTGTATTTTTTAGTCGCTTAGCCACTTTTTTTTTCGGAAAACATCAAACTAAAAAAAAAATCGCAAAAAACCCCCGGCTAATTTCCGCCAAAAATTAAGGTCATATTCGGTCTAAACACACACAAATACACTAGAAAAATATATTTTATACTTGCTAAAAGAGAACGGTGTGACAATGCAAATTTACCATAGTTTTCACCATAAAAGCATAATTTGGGTTAACCATTTGATATAAGTCAAACTACATTTTTTGGTCTATCGATTGAGTGTAGAGGATTTCCGGAATTCCATGGTTGCTGTTTACTGCAATATTACTCAGATTTAAACAAGGCACATCAAAATACACCAGAAAAAAAATTCCAGTAAAAAAAAAAACGAAGGGACTAATCTTTACCGCTGTCTGCTCCACCATTACCAATGTTGCAACTGTCCAATTCATTTTTACCTGATATAACTGGTGCCATGAAAACCTATAATATAACTAGTGCCATGAAAACCTATAATATAACTAGTGCCATGAAAACCCATAATATAACTGGTGCCATGAAAACCTATAATATAACTGGTGCCATGAAAACCTATAATATAACTGGTGCCATGAAAACCTATAATATAACTGGTGCCATGAAAACCTATAATATAACTGGTGCCATGAAAACTATAATATAACTGGTGCCTATAATATAACTGTACCATAAAAACCTATAATATAACTGGTGCCATGAAAACCTATAATATAACTGGTGCCATGAAAACCTATAATATAACTGGTGCCATGAAAACCTATAATATAACTAGTGCCATGAAAACCTATAATATAACTGGTGCCATAAAAACCTATAATATAACTGGTGCCATGAAAACCTATAATATAACTGGTGCCATGAAAACCTATAATATAACTAGTGCCATGAAAACCTATAATATAACTGGTGCCATGAAAACCTATAATATAACTGGTGCCATAAAAACCTATAATATAACTGGTACCATAAAAACCTATAATATAACTGGTGCCATGAAAACCTATAATATAACTGGTGCCATGAAAACCTATAATATAACTGGTGCCATAAAAACCTATAATATAACTGGTACCATAAAAACCTATAATATAACTAGTGCCATGAAAACCTATAATATAACTGGTGCCATGAAAACCTATAATATAACTAGTGCCATGAAAACCTATAATATAACTGGTGCCATGAAAACCTATAATATAACTGGTGCCATAAAAACCTATAATATAACTAGTATTAACATAACTATCCACCACCACCACAGCCTCGCCTATGAACCTTATAACATATTAACTCACCATAATTAACAATCTTTACAGTATATCACATTTTGTTACTAATATTACATAAATCTCTCTACTTTACCAGGTTAATGTGTGTATAATGAAGGAGTTAATGATCCACTATGAGGAATATTTGACACAAGGTAACACTGTATTTACAACTCCTCCCATATTATTACATCCGGTTTACAGTATTTATATTTTTTATCTCCTATACGCCTTAAATAAAAAAAACTCACTCACTAATTCATATATTATTTTAGATATTATACATAAAATATAATATTATAGGTGGTTAACCCTACTGGTATTTGTTAAGTTTGTAAGGTTTCTATTTTCTTCTATGTAAACTTGTTATAAGGAGGATAAGGAACCACAACTAATGTTACGTAATCGTCTGTCTATGGTTGTTTCCTGGTTGTATTTTCTGGTAGTTGGTTGCTTTTACTTTGACTTTTATCCTCTTCTCCACTGCTGTTTCCCGTTGGTTAGTGTTGTTGTTTTCTAGGTTGTTGTTAAAGTTTTCTGGTTGTTGGTTGTTATTGTTTCTGGTTGATTATTGTTTTTACACCTTGGGGTGAATCAACCCAATGAGATAAATTTGCATAGGTAGGCCTTACTCCATTTCTTAATTAAAAATACATTTTTCGCATAGTTCCGACTATTCTAAGACACTTTTCTTTGGCATTTTCGTTGGAAATTTATATTTTTAGAGTACTTTAATAGATAAAATTACCAACAATATTACTTGTTTAAAATGGGCAGGGCTTTGAAATCGAGAGAAAATGTGGGATAAAATCCTAAAAATAACACCAAACAAGCCTTTGAAAACCAGACCCAATCTAACCTAACACCAACCTACGGTAACCTAACTTTTACTTTTATCCTCTTCACCGCTGATCGGCTCGTTAGCAGCTTGGGCGATCGGTCACGTCTCTGTTACGCACTGTTGGCAAGTACTGGGCATGCACCGGCTCCTGAATGTACCTGAACCTGCTCCAGTGTTGGTCAAACCTGGTCTTGAAAGAGCTCACACTCGGTGCCGTCACAACACTTTCTGGTAGATTGTTCCAAGAATTCACAACTCTCACTGAGAAAGTTTGCCCTCACAGTTTTCTGGACTTGCGGCTTCTTCAATCTTGAGCTGTGACCCCTTGTGGGGCGAGCGTCCGCCAGCTCCAAGTAAGGACATTCAACTGAGTAGTGCCCCTTGAGATGCTTATACACCTCAATTTGGTCACCCCTTGCCCGTCTGTAGTACAAGTTAGGCAAATTCAGGCTACAGATCTCCAAACTGTAGCTTACTAAGCCAAAGGAACTTGTGAGCCTTAATAGACAACGCAGCGAGGTTCAACCCTAGCCACCTCCTTATCATGGGGGGCAGTGCCGGATTTAGACCTGTGGAGGCCCATGGGCAGCCTCTTTGTGGAGGCCCCCATTATAACTACCCAAGAGGGTGGGGTGGCGAGTGAAGCGAGCCTGTGGGGTTATGAGATATATGGTTCACACTCAGGATGGGATGGAGAAAGGAAACTCACAATGTGCTCACTGTATACATATTGTATTGGATGTACAATGCAGCTTGTTGCTGGGTAGGTAGCATGGTAATAAGCGTTGAGTAGAGAGAGCTGGGTGGTGAGGGAGCCCAGAAGAGGGGCTTGAGGGACGCCAAGGTCGCTGGCGGGAGCGGCAGCCGCCAGGCTGGCGTGGAGGAGGAGGTGTTGCTTGCTTGTGGCACTGGGTAGAAAAAAGGGTGGTAACAGCGGTGTCAGGCCTTACAAGGCAGGGGTAGGCGTGGGTTGATAGTTGACCCCCGCTCCGTAGGCGGCGCTGGAGGCGTAGGCTGGGGCATTCGAGAAGGTTCGGTGCTTGTAGGGGAGGAATCCACTACAATACTCCCCTTCCCCTCCGGGCGCGGCGGGAGGCTGGAGGTTGGCAGGGTTGCATGCCACATGTGAGGCAGAACGGGCGGTGCATGCCACATGTGAGGCAGAACGGGCGGTGCATGCCACATGTGAGGCAGAACGGGCGGTGCATGCCACATGTGAGGCAGAACGGGCGGTGCATGCCACATGTGAGACACGAGGGCGTGGATGAGCCGCCACTAGGGGGACAGCTCTGTCTAGATACACGAGATCTGTGGGAGAAAAGAGGGGGAAGGAGGGTTGTGGAGGCGATGAATGTTGTGCTTCCCTCGCGACAGGTACAGAGTCCTCAGATGCGCTTGCTGGGGTGTGTGGGCCTGGGTCAGGAGCAGGGGCTGGGTCAGGAGCAGGGGCTGCATCAGCAGGAAGAGGGTCCATGACAGCAGCAGGGTCCACGACAGCAGCAGGGTGCAGGACAGTAGCAGGGGGTACCCGAGGGAGATAAGAGGGGTGTGGGGATCCGCGTCAGGAGGAGCGGCAGGGGGTACTACTGGGCCGGGGGCAGCGTCTGAGGCAGGACGGGTGTGTTGGGGTCGGTAGGAACGTGGTGCTTGGGGCAGGAAGAGGAGAGGCTGTCTGCTTAGAGTAGCAGAGCTGCTCTAGGGTGTCTAACCTGCGGTGTAGAGACAGTAGTTGTAGAGCCGATGCCAGTCTTCCATGTTGCTTGAAGACTGGGAGAGTGATCAGTTTCTCCTCCATCCTGTGTGAGTGCGAATCTCCGGGGGTCACCATTTGTGGGGTTATGAGATATTGGTTCACACTCAGGATGGGATGGAGAAAGGAAACTCACAATGTGCTCACTGTATACATATTGTATTGGATGTACAATGCAGCTTGTTGTTGGGTAGGTAGCATGGTAATAAGCGTTCAGTAGAGAGAACTGGGTGGTGAGGGTGCCCAGAGGAGGGACACATGGCTTGAGGGACGCCAAGGTCGCTGGCGGGAGCAGCAGCCGCCAGGCTGGCGCGGAGGAGGTGTTGCTTGCTTGTGGCACTGGGTAGAAAAGAGGGTGGTCACAGCGGTGTCAGGCCTTATAAGGCGGGGGTAGGCGTGGGTTGATAATTGACCCCCGCTCCGTAGGCGGAGCTGGAGGCATAGGCTGGGGCATTCGAGAAGGTTCGGTGCTTGTAGGGGAGGAATCCACTACAAGCCCAAGCATCTGGGAGTTCCAGGGGGTGCTGTAAGCCCCCCGGGAAAATTTTATCACTTCTTTGGAGAATTTTTAAGCCATATGCAGTTATATCGAGGAAATTAGATCACAGCGCCCTGATGGCATTCGTAATGGGAGTGATAGTGAAAAAAAAAAATTTTTAATCTCAATTTCGTTATTCCATGTAGTTCATTTTTAATCAATATATGTTTGTGGAATTCTAAATATATTATTAGCAACACAAACAATAGCATTCATTAAAAATATACTGTTCATAGGAAAACCAGGTATTCATGAAATTCAAGGAGTAGCTAGCCTAATTTCTATCACGCTTCTTGGCGAACATAGTTTTACGTGGTGGAATAGATAAACATGAATTTTAAAGAATGAAAATAATAATAATCCAAATGAATAAACAAATAAATAAAATATTGTAATATGTGGAGGCCCCTGGGCAGCTGCCCACTTTGCCCACTCCTGAATCCGGCCCTGCATGGGGGATTTTATTTATGGCGACATCGACCGGAGAAACGAGTCCACGCCAAATGGCTTTAATAACCCCGCTACTCTTTTTGTAGTGCTACGACCCTTGGCCTCATAGGGTGTAACAAAATATCAATCTCAATAATTCACCAATTGTTTATTCCTTGATAGAGGAAGCGGGATCCTAGTGCTGTCACTAGGTACCCCTGTACAATGACACCAGAATCATCTGGCAAATGTGAAAAGTATATACAGTATAAATATTATAAAGGGGCTTACTAAAGCCTAAGGAAGGAAGGATGTTCCTTTAACACATAATTAATATTATTTACAAAATATCTGGCCAGTATTGGGAGGATCATCGTGTCTCCGTCAGGGGGTCGTGGAGTGGTGGTCCAGCAGGCGTCACGGAAGCGTTGTGTGTGGGGACATCTTAGGAGGTAGTGAATAAGGGTGCGGCTGTCGGGTCTTCTGCATAACGCACAAGAGCGTTGCTCAGGGGATGTGGGGATACCAATCTCCCAAGCAAAGTCATACCCAATGATGATACGGGCAGCAATCACGTCCCCCTTCCGCGACCCTTTCCCGTAGACGTACGAGAAGTCAGGAAGTTTACGGAGGACATCGTACCATGTGGGCGGGGAGTCCAGGGGGATGGCTGCTTCCCGAGCTTCTCTCTGTTTGCGGCGGATTTGGGTCCTAATCTGTAAGAGTGTTCGAGGAACAACGTAGTCAGGTGTGGCCTTGTTGCAGCCAGTCTTGGCAAGGTCATCTGCTGCCTCATTCCCCAAGATACCGACATGACTAGGTATCCATAGGAATGTCACAGGACGGCCTTCATCCTGAAGTGTGGATGTTAACCCTCGTATTCGGAGGATGAGGTCCTTATTTTCCCCAGATCCAAATGCGATCCCGTCGAGAGCAGACCTGGAATCGCAGCAGACAAGCAAGGGGCAGAAACCATCTGCTTCTTCCTCAGCGAGAAGGGCAGCAAGGAGGGCTATTAGTTCAGCCTGAGTGGAGGATGCCCCGTCAGAAACTCTGAGAGACAGTTTGATAGGCTCAGGGGCATGAGGACGGGAGATGTAGACACCAGCCCCGGCCCTACCTGTAGCGGGGTCAACAGAACCATCAGTGTAGAGGACGACCCTACCTGGGGACCAGTGAGCGATCCTGGAGAGGTGGTATTTGCAGAGAATAACAGGGTTCACCTGGGATTTCGGGAGCGGTCCACCGAGGGCAATCACTTCAGGTTGAAAATCCAGCCAGGGAGAAGGAGACGAACCAACAGCAGGGGTGACAACAATATCAGGCAGGAGGTCGTGTTCCTGAAGGGCTCGGATGAGTGACCCTCGCCACTGTCTTCTAGATGGAGGTCGGTCTCGGACAGCAGTAGTCAAGTTGGTTTGGACATAGTTGCCCCTAGGATCCCGTAGAATGGAAACGGCAGTTTTTAGGTAAAACTCCTGGACACGATCCTGTAAGGGGGAAAGACCAAGTTCGGTATATAGAGAAGTAGAGCGTGTCCACTGAGGAGCCCCAAGGATGATACGAGCAGCTTTCCTCTGGATAACTTCGAGACGGTTGACAGCAGTCCGACTAATGTTGACGA